TTGAGTGATGGAAACTCTCTTAATTTGCTTAAGCAGTATACGAGGTCTGACAGTTAAGTTTGTGACCTCATCTTAGAAAAGGTGCTGTGTACGTCACTCTGGGTGTCACTACAGTCACCTGCAAAGTACTCCCCCGGGGAAGCTGTGCATCAGCGCCTGGCCTGCCTACCCTTGAAAACAGTTTTGGAACAAACTCTCTCTGGACCCACCATCAGAGTTGTCGTCACACAGATCTGACAGTTAAGTTCATGACTCTCCACCGTGCCCTTGCGTTGGCAGCTCTGTAGACAGCTCAGGAAGGGTTCACAGCCTCGGCATATCAGTGACTACAGCTGAGTTTTTGCTGACGTGCGGTGGTGTCTTGCTGAGTGGTGTTCATTTTTGATGTTTCTTGGTTTTTTTGTGCCATCTGACAACAGCCCTAATGGGTCACTCCAGAAAAGGTGTCCCAGAATTGCTCTGAAAGGTAGACTAGAAACTGGTGTTGGCACTTAGCTTCCAAGGGGAAGACCTCACAGGTGACCATGTTGATATTCAGCAGTGGAGTGGGCAGCACTTTCTCTAGGATGAGTCCACGAACGTCATTGTCAGACCTTGTAAATTGCTACAGCAGTGTTGAAAGTGTGCTGTGGTGAAGCTAAAATGGTCACATCCTGCAGCAGAGCAAGTACATTTCTACATGTAAACCCAATGAAATTATCTCCCAGCTGCAAAATGCAAATAAAAATGGTTACAACAGGATTAGTTAATAATTATAAAAGTAGAAGCCAGCTAAATCCAACTGGAGAATGAATAAATATTGATTTGTTTGTGTAACTGGTATAGGGTTTTAAAATATGCAGAAGAGTATTGTGTATTTTTATACATAAATATGAAAATGTTGATATGCACATTAAATTAACCAGAACTTTTTAGATGTCTTTACTCTTTGAAATATTCCATGAAAAATTCCATATTGACAAGTTTTTCAGGAGTATTATGTAGAATATTGATTATTGGAGAATCTGTTACTTTCCTATCTTTGTTTTTTGTTACCAGGTTTTGATTTCAGAGAATGTGGTACTTTTAAGAAAAGTAAATGAACTTTGAAAAAGTTTTTTAAAATGTTATATACAATTGACCTAAGAATTGGATCAAATTTTAGAATTTGAAAATGAAATGAATAAACATATAGTTTTATTTAAGAAATTAAAATTTTAGGCTCGGCACCTGTAGCTCAGCACTTGAGGCACCAACCACATGCACCAGGGCAGGTGGGTTTGAACCCAGCCCAGGCCTGCTAAACAAACCAACTAACAAAAAAATAGCCGAGTGTTGTGGTGGGCACCTGTAGTCCCAGCTATTTGGGAGGCTGAGGCAAGAGAATTGCTTAAGCCCAGGGGTTTGAGGTTGCTCTGAGCTATGACGCTATGGCACTCTACCAAGGGCAACATAGTCTCAAAAAAAAAAAAAGAAAAGAAATTAAAATTTTAAAGTGTCAAAGATCACCGTAATCCTTGCTCAAAATAAGATAAACTAGTTCACAGATGATGTTCAAGGAAAGTATACACTTAGAGATATACAACAGGAGGCATCAGTGTTGAAGAGTGTACAGATAGCATCTTGGTCTGTTTTTATCAGTGGCCTTTTCTGGGGATTTTATTTCATTTGTGTTGCGTCTTGAGGGGCTGCAGTGAATAGAGCCCCTGTTCAGTGGAGCTCGGAACCAATTGAGGAATAAAAGTGTCAGTGTGGAGCCTCTTTATTACAGTAAAGGCCAGGACATAGGAAACAGCTGAGCGAGACAGTCAGCTTAGTCTTGCTAACTCCCTCCCTCTCGGTTGCACCTCCCACTGTGTCCGGAGCAGAACTCCTCCAGGGAAAGTTTGCCTGTGCAGAGCAAACTAACCCAGGCCAAGAGGGACGGAAAAGACCAGACTCCTCTGTGGAGTCTCAGCGTCTGTCCTGGGCCGGAGGCAGGTCGGGTAAGAGGCCCCTTGTTCAGTAAGGAGACCCTCACATGCAGTCTTGAGTGAGAGAAGAGGAGCCTGTGCCCTTCCCCTGACCGTCTCATTTTGTCAGGTTCATATTGTGAATTAGAATTAACCTATTAAACTCCAGTATTTAGCTATACTTACAATAGGAAAGAGTGTCATAATCTTGTCACATGATTTATCTTTAACTCTTGCTTTAAAAAAAAATTACATCTTTAAAGACATTTCCTATAGCCTCATATAATACCATGTTTCTTTGGATTAAGAGAAAAAAGGAGAGTAAATGCTTCAGACGCCTTGTGCTGACACTCACTCTACCGATTCATAGTTTACAGACCTGGTCACTTAACTTGGTACCCACACTCAATAAGACTCAGCAGATAACCATCACGTGACGTCCTCGAGGTCTGAGGAGTCAGATAACTACAGAGTTAGTGGTGCTCACAGCACAGTGTTGGCGTTACAGAAATGATGGGAAAATTAATGGGAACTCATGACATATTTAAGAAAATGTTTTTTCTATGTTAAAATACACGCATGCAGATTTTCTAAAGTTTTAAAATACAAATCCTATTTTATTGCTAATTCCAGGATTCTCATGGAAGTGGCAGGCTCTTCATTTCAGATAAATCATTCCTTGGTCAAAATTTAACTTTGAGTTCTGTGTTTTAACTGTTTGCTCTTAGTTTTATGCCCTCAAGGTACTTTAGAGGGGAAGCAAGTGACATGGCTTTTTTTGTTTTATTAAGCCCTTTAAATTAAGGGGGGGGCAGTGCCTCATGCCTGTAATCCCAGCACTTTGGGAGGCTGAGGCAGGATGGTCGCTTGAGCCCAGGGGTCTGAGGTTACTGTGGGCTGTAATGTTGGCACAGCGCTCTAGCCTGGGAAACACAGTGAGACCTTGTCTCAGAAAAGCAGAAGGCAGTCGGGTGGCATCCGGGCGCCTCGGAGAAAGCATGCTCACGACATGTCTTCACTGACAGTCAAAGGAGGTCATTTTTCACTCACTAAAATTTTAGTTGTAAATTCATATTGGTAACAGGACCCAAAGTAGGGACTTCTGTGTGTAGGGGACACCCTGCAGAGCCGGGAGAACACAGACTTCAGAGCTAGATGCACCTTGCCCCACAGAACACATTCCTGAACCTTTCTACCCGTAAGCAGTGACACCTGCTTCATCAGATTCTTTTGGAGATGAATGCTTAAAGTTTGTCTAAGCCTACAATGTAAAGGAAATCTTTACAAGAATGGACCAAGTGTATTTTAAGAAATAACTTGGTACCAGTTAGGAAACTGCCTATGACATTTGAATGAAAAGGATACGGAAGTGCTCCTCTGATGATACAGTTCCTGGCTTCTATCTGAAAAATGTAGAAATTGTTAAAGGGATGAAAATTTACATTTACAAGAGTGAGGTAGAAGGTAAATAAATAATAGTACAGCCTGGGAATGTTAGGGTTATAAAGACTGTAGGTAAGAGAAAACATGTTTGGTGTGGAGAGCAAAAGCAGTATGTATATCTTATACTTAAACCTTTGTTTTATGTGCAGAAAAGGTTCAGTGCCCATGCCCAGCGGTTAGGGCACTGGCCACGTGCACCAAGGCCTGCTGGTTCAAACCAGCCTGGGCCTGCTAAATAACAGTGACAACTGCAACCAAAAAATAGCTGAGCGTTGTGGTGGGCATCTATAGTCCCAGCTACTGAGGAGGCTGAGGCAAGAGAGTCACTTGAGCCCAAGAGTTTGAGGTTGCTGTGAGCTGTGACACCTCAGCACTCTACCCAGGACGACATAATGAGACT